GGATTTGCAGCACGTTTCTGTTCACGCGACGCATTCACGTGCTCGCAGCTCGCCCCCGTCGGCCACCAAACAGCACAGACAACAACACATACACACACACACACACACACACACACACGCACAACAACAACAAGACGCCGTCCGCCGGAGCAACAACAACAACAACAACAACCACACGGTGTAACGCTTCCACCAGTTAAACAAAAAAAACCACACAGAAGCACAGGAAGTGACATGCACACGCGCACACGTGAACGGTGGATGGTTCTGCCGGTGAGGCGTTCAAAGACAAGGAGGCGGCGCATCGACAGCAACAGCTCGACTACGGAGATGGAGGTGGATGCAAAACAAACAAAAACAACAACAACAAAAACAACAACAACAACTACAACACACCATGGGGATGTGCACATGTGCATCTGAGTGATGGAGATGCTGATGGTTGCCGGGGTCATGGGGGGAGGGGGGGCGACAACACTGGTGATGGGAGCGGTGGAGAGCGGAGGCGGGGCCCCACCACACCCCCCCGGCGTCGGACCCCCCAACCTGCGGTGTTACCTGGGCTGGCCAACGCTCCCAGGGAGGCGGCGTTGGAGGACAGGGGGTTTGCGGTGGAGGGGCTGGCCGAGTTTTGGGCTGCCGCCGCCGCCGCCGCTAAAGTGGCCAGGTTCTGCAACTGCAGAGCACTCATACCTGGAGAGAGGAGGAGCCAGAGAGGGTGGTGTCAAACCTGGGGAGCGAGGGCTGAGGCGTGGCCGGGTCCAGAGAGACGGGAGGGTAAGGGGGGGGGAGGAGGGGAGTCGAGATCCGTCGCAGGTGGAAACGCTCCCCTCGACTTTCTGAGGACTTTCTTTTGCAAAGAGACAAGAATGTGTGAACGCCGCCGCAGCTGATTGGGCTAATAAGTCCCAAACGAGTTGGAATCAGCGAAAGCAGCTGCAGCGGCGTTTGGGTTTCTGGTGTGGTGCTGCTCTGGAGGCAGAAATCATCTCAGTGATTTGGATAAACTTCTCTGTTTGAACAACAGCAGAGGAAAAGCTCAGTGGAGGGAGAGCAAACGAAGCGCCCTCGACCAGTTCTGTGGGCTTTCTAGCCAATTAAACCATTTAAAAAACAACTAAAGCCCATTTCTGCTCAGATAACTGGTGCTCGTTTATAATGAAAGACTAATAAAGAGCTAAATGTGTACGTTAGAGGAGCCGGACTGATATGAGACACATAACGACATGTTGGTTTTTATAGTTAAC